TTATAATAAGCCCATACTATTCAAATACAATTTAGAAGAATTTTTAACTTCTCAAGTGACCTGCTAAAAGAAAGCTATTTTAACAACAAAAAAATCAGAATACATATTTAAAATTCTAAATAACATATATTACAAAGTCAGCATGAGGAATATGAAAAAAATTTCTTAAAACCTCAGATTTACTCTACAGCAATGTCAAACAGGAAAACTGGATGTGCTTTCCTCAAATAGTATATCTGATAAGATTTCCACAGGAACACCAGTATAACAGGTAGTGTGGATATTCCAAAAACAAAATAATTATAGTACCTCACATTTCATGATATGCATTCAAGGACACCTGGTAATTAAAAGAACTTTGAGAAACACCTGAATACCATGGTGTCTGTTATTATAAGAGAAAAAAATTATCTGCAATAATAATGCTTTACACTTTAATAGTATTTTTTGATTTTCATGAAACTTAATGATAAAACACTTTACAAAGTTGTTTTGTTGTTCCTTGTATGAAATGAGGGCACGCACACCCTACTTTGGTCCTAAAGTTCAAAAACCAACCATATCAAATTACAACAGCGTGCAGAAAGATAAACAGCCCTTAAAATCTTCCTAATGTCACTGGTGGGTGATAATCAGTTTGTTCAGAAATGTTCCGTAACGGTCCTAAAAGACTCTTCCGTATAGACTGTCTTTTACAGTCTATGTGGGATGGGCTCCCCATCCTTCCTAAGGCTCCTTAACCCTGAAGGAGAATTCGTGCCAGGATGGGACAAGAAATGACGAATAATTAAAACCACCCTTCGCAGACACGGTGTAGGTTCCACCTGTCCAGCAGTACGAGCTAATCCGCCCCTCCCCCACCCCCAGGAGGAAAGCGAGGTGTTCTCAATACATTATCCCGCTCGTCTTCTCCTAAGAGAACAATCAGCAAAGACTTCCCAATGGGTCCGGTTCCTACGGTTCTCCCTCAACTCTCAGGAAAACAAAGCTTCAGGCCCAGCTCTGTGTCACTCCATATTCCGTTCTTGACACTCTAGGTGCTCGGGAAGCCCCCAGCACGCAGTCATTTGGCAGAGGATGGCGTAAGAGACATAATACTCAAGACACGCAAGGGGACAGGGGCCAGAGGGTAGGTACCAGAGAACTGAGTGAACTCTGGAGTTGTCGCTTGCGAAACTCAGTCTATCAGGAGGTCCCCTTCGAGGGGGGGAGGCACAGAATTCACAAGGTGTGAATGAGGAATCGGGCGAGGAATGCAGAAGTCGCCAGGTGTAAGACAGGGCGGGGTGGACTGCGCCGAGGGGCCAGCAAGAGGGCTGGCCTCAGGGACCAAGCATCGTGGCTGGGGGCAGCGGTGCCCAACAAGTCAGACCAGCGGGGCAGGGGAGGCCCCCGGCGCTGGTCCGCCCGACGAGCTCCCGGGCTAGGTTTCAAACCGCCGCCCTCGAGAGGCGCTCGGCCGATTGGAAGTTCCACCACAACCGTCACTCGCCCAGGGCCGGAGCGGTAACTCCTCGGCGGAGCTCTCCCATCCCTCTGCGCTTCCACGGAGACATCAAACCCCACAAACTCCACCTCCGACCGAGGTCCCAACTCGCGTCCCGCCGCGGGCTCCGCGCACGCCGGGGCGCCCGCCCTCCGGGACGCCACAGACGTCCCCGACCCGGCTCCGCCGCGGGAGTTCGAGGGGCGCGACGGGGCTGCGCGACGGGGCTGCGCGAGGGGGCGAGCAGAACGGGCGTCCCTCGAGTCCGCCCCGGGACGCGGCCTCGCGACCACCTCCGCCTCGCCCCTCAGGTACTGCCCGCTGGGTTCCAACCCACCCATCCCGCCGAGTCGTGGGGCAGGGCGAGGACCGGAGCGAGCCTACTCCCCCCGCCCCTGCTCTTACCCATCTTTCCGCCTCGCCTTGTAGACGTGCCCGTAGGTGCCGCGTCCCACTTTGCACCCTTCGTACTCAAACAAATCCTCCACCCGCTCCCGCTCCGCCGCCAGCTTCGCCTTGAAATCATAATCCATTGTCTGCTTCCCCCATAGAGGCACCGGGACGCGGGGGCCGCCGCCGCTCAGTCCCTCCTCCTCCTCCT